CCACTGTTGGGCCTTCTTGACCAGCTGTGTGGTGTTAAGTGTCCAAGTGAGGTCCTCACTGATGTGGACACCCAGGTATTTGAAGCTGCTCACCCTCTCCACTTCAAGTCAGTAAATGCACAGCGGGGTCGCACTACAGGTTCGGCTTCACAAGCCAAAGCTAAATTCAACGTAGCTGTCAGTGTGCATGTGCTGCTGCAGAGCCGGGGAGAGGAACAGTAAGGAGCACTGTTTACAGGTGAAGTCAACATGAGGTGGCCATGAAGGAATAAGCACAGCACGATGTATATGAACAGATGCACAGGTGTGGTGTGGAAGTGACTGCAGAGCAGGTGTAAATGTTAAGTGTTTAAAATGGAAGGAGCACGTTACAGCCTCACACTTGTCGCTGACGTCCAACGTCAAACCCAGGTAATTGGCTTCTTCCTGTCAGATCATCGTTCTGCGGCGGTATCGGGGTAAAGACTAGACACCTCCTGCAGACCTATGGCGTCTCATTAGGAGCCACCTTTTGATTTTCCCCTACTCTTGCTCGCCGTGTTGATTTACGCCAATTCTTACGGCAGCAGACGAGTATTGATTGGGAATGGATATCGGTAATAACCTGCAGCTTTGCAGGGGGACAGTGGGGGTTCAGGATGGATAGCCACTCTAATGCATTTCCCACTGCCTTGTAATCTGTGCACATCCATCTCTAGGCCCATAAGCCCCCCACCCTGCTCCCCTTGCGGTCTGATGGAGCGCCTCTTCTATAATTGCCACATTATCACAATAATAATCCGGGCAGTTAACAAGCGGCAAGGTCGCAGACAGACATGTCACATTAACCAGGGGATAACCTCGGCAGGACACCCCACCCATCTTCTCCTGGTCCTACTGCTGCAGCAAGGCATGCTGGGACTGCATGAGGAGCAGGGGAGGGCAGATATAAATGGAGCTCTGTGAGGGCAGCATTGATTTCCACCTTAATAAGACAGTAACGATATCTTTACAAACACGGCGGCAGCTCAGCCAGGTTGTCGCTTTCTGTTTAGTCTTTTTCTTCCTGTGTGGAACCGGAGCCCTGAAATTTGGCCTTAAAGGACGTTCATTTACCAACTAATGGCTAAGGCATTTAATTAATGGATAATAATAAAACAAGATATTGGCATGGTTTGATGTTTTTACAGGGGAATAATCACTGACATTTAACCTTAAAATAATGTTAATTTATCCAGGGTAAATTAATTAGGGTATCCAATGGTTAGCACTGTCGCCTCACAGGTAGAAGGCTCCGGGTTCGAGCCCCAGCCAACCCGGTGCCTTTCTGTATGGAGTGTGCAACTTATCCCCGCATGGGTTCTGTTAAGTGTTTAAAATGGAAGGAGCACGTTACAGCCTCACACTTGTCGCTGACGTCCAACGTCAAACCCAGGTAATTGGCTTCTTCCTGTCAGATCATCGTTCTGCGGCGGTATCGGGGTAAAGACTAGACACCTCCTGCAGACCTATGGCGTCTCATTAGGAGCCACCTTTTGATTTTCCCCTACTCTTGCTCGCCGTGTTGATTTACGCCAATTCTTACGGCAGCAGACGAGTATTGATTGGGAATGGATATCGGTAATAACCTGCAGCTTTGCAGGGGGACAGTGGGGGTTCAGGATGGATAGCCACTCTAATGCATTTCCCACTGCCTTGTAATCTGTGCACATCCATCTCTAGGCCCATAAGCCCCCCACCCTGCTCCCCTTGCGGTCTGATGGAGCGCCTCTTCTATAATTGCCACATTATCACAATAATAATCCGGGCAGTTAACAAGCGGCAAGGTCGCAGACAGACATGTCACATTAACCAGGGGATAACCTCGGCAGGACACCCCACCCATCTTCTCCTGGTCCTACTGCTGCAGCAAGGCATGCTGGGACTGCATGAGGAGCAGGGGAGGGCAGATATAAATGGAGCTCTGTGAGGGCAGCATTGATTTCCACCTTAATAAGACAGTAACGATATCTTTACAAACACGGCGGCAGCTCAGCCAGGTTGTCACTTTCTGTTTAGTCTTTTTCTTCCTGTGTGGAACCGGAGCCCTGAAATTTGGCCTTAAAGGACGTTCATTTACCAACTAATGGCTAAGGCATTTAATTAATGGATAATAATAAAACAAGATATTGGCATGGTTTGATGTTTTTACAGGGGAATAATCACTGACATTTAACCTTAAAATAATGTTAATTTATCCAGGGTAAATTAATTAGGGTATCCAATGGTTAGCACTGTCGCCTCACAGGTAGAAGGCTCCGGGTTCGAGCCCCAGCCAACCCGGTGCCTTTCTGTATGGAGTGTGCAAATTATCCCAGCATGGGTTCTCTCTGGTTCTGAGTCCAACAACATGCAGCTTAGGTTGACTGGTGACTCTAAATTAGACAGAATTCGGAAGGGCGCCAGGCGTAAAAACATGCCAGGTTTAATATAAGCATTGTCAGTTCGGTGGGAACTGAAGAATTGCTGTGACTGACAGGAAGAGCCGAAAGAAGAAGAATTAGGGCATCCAATTCCCCCCTGGGATTAATAAAGTACTCTATCTCTCTATCTTAGTGGGGTATAGGACAGATCATGGATCCTAATGTAGTAGGATTTTTGTAGGCTTTATGCATTGGGAGGCTTTTAAGTGGTACATTTTTTATTTTAAAATACCATTAAATTTACCCGAAATGAAGTACAGTATTTTAGTTGGGTTTTAAGGATAAGCCTTTTGCATGGCTTGAGATTTTAAAAAAACCTCAAGATAAAATCCCTTAAAATTAAGATTTCTTAATTTTATTAATTTAAGATTACATGTACCACTTCGTATCAGTTAATGCATAAAGTAACTGAGCCTGGAAAGATAGTTTAATAACATATAAGAAAGCCCTTCATAGTGCCAGAACCGCATTTTATTCATCACTGATTGAGGAAAATAAGAACAACCCCAGGTTTCTTTTCAGCTCTGTAGCCAGGCTGACAAAGAGCCACAGTGCTGTTGAGCTTAACATTCCCTTAGATCTCAGCAGCAATGACTTCATGAGCTTCTTTACAAATAAAATCACAACTATTAGAGAAAAAATTGGTCGGACCACTCCCACAGCTCTTGCAGATGTGCCATCTACTACAGTGGCTTTAGAAACATCTGTAAGACCTCATTTATACTTGGACTACTTCTCCCCTATA